AGATTTGACATGGTCCTTTGGCAGGGTCAGATACAAGCTTGAATTGTCTATGCCTAGTTTCATAGGGAGCTCTTGGAGCTGGGCACAGGGTCAACCCAAGGGTCCTTTTCTGGCTTCTGGTCGCTCTTTGCCCCAACAACTGTTTTGCTGTACTATATGACTGACTGAAAGTGAGGAGGAGCTGAGGAGACTTCTAGTCAAGGTGAAAGAAGAAAGCGCAAAAGCTGGGTTGCAGCTAAACATATAAAAAAAAACCAAGATTATGGCAACAAGAATGATTGACAACTGGGGAATAGAGGGAGAAAATGTGGAGGCCGTGATTTCTAGGTGCAAAGATTACTGCAGACACAGACTGCAGCCAGGAAAACAGGAGATGCTTACTTCTTGGGAGGAGAACAATGTCCAATCTTGATAAAATAGTGAAGAGTAGAGACATCACACTGGCAAGCAAGATCCACATAGTTAAAGCAATGGTATTCCCCATAGTCACCTACGGATGTGAGAGCTGGACCATAGGGAAGGCTGAGCAAAGGAAGATAGATGCTTTTGAACTGTGGTGTTGGAGGAAAGTTCTGAGAGTGCCTTGGACTGCGAGAAGATCCAACCAGTCCATCTTCCAGGAAATAAAGCCCGACTGCTCATTGGAGGGAAGGATACTAGAAGCAAAGATGAAGTACTTTGGCCACATCATGAGAAGAAAGGAAAGCTTAGAGAAGACAATGATGCTGGGGAAAAATGGAAGGAAAAAGGAAGAGGGGCCGACCAAGGGCAAGATGGATGGATGGCATCCTTGAAGTGACTGGATTGACCTTGAAGGAGCTGGGTGTGGTGACGGCCGACAGGGAGCTCTGGCGTGGGCTGGTCCATGAGGTCACGAAGAGTCAGGAACGACTGAACGAATGAACAAATGACTGTCTTATTCGCAGGATTGATGTTCTAGAATTGACACTGGGTTCAACCTCTAGTGGAGGTAAATCATAGAGTCTTGTTGGAAGATATTGAAAACACCTAGAGAGGACACCTCTCTCAACATTGCTAAGTTCTTCAGCGCAATTCTGTGGCCAGTTTCCAGCAGAGGCATACTATGGAATTGCCCAGCAGTCCTAGAACATTTATTTATCGTGTCAGGCAACCGAACAGTTGTATTACATTTTTGACAGAACAAACAAACAAACATACAAAAGACACAGAGTTTGCAAGCTTGGTAGTTGATTAAATGTCCTTTGACCAGTATCTGGCCACTTGGAGTGCTTCTGGTGTTGCTGCAAGAAGGTCCTCCATTGTGGCAGGGCTCAGGTTGCATTGCAGCAGGTGGTCAGTGGTTTGCTCTTCTCCACACTCGCATGTCGTGGATTCCACTTTGTAGCCCCATTTCTTAAGATTGGCTCTGCATCTCTTGGTGCCAGAGCACAGTCTGTTCAGCACCTTCCAAGTCGCCCAGTTTTCTGTGTGCCCAGGAGGGAGTCTCTCATTTGGTATCAGCCATTGATTGAGGTTCTGGGTTTGAGCCTGCCACTTTTGGACTCTCGCTTGCTGAGGTGTTCCAGCGAGTGTCTCTGTAGATCTTAGAAAACTATTTCTTGATTTAAGTCGTTGACGTGCTGGCTGATACCCAAACAAGGGATGAGCTGGAGATGTCTCCGCCTTGGTCCTTTCACTATTGGCTGCTACTTCCCGGCGGATGTCAGGTGGTGCAATACCGGCTAAGCAGTGTAATTTCTCCAGTGGTGTAGGGCGCAGACACCCCGTGATAATGCGGCATGTCTCATTAAGAGCCACATCCACTGTTTTAGTGTGGTGAGATGTGTTCCACACTGGGCATGCATACTCAGCAGCAGAGTAGCACAGCACAAGGGCAGATGTCTTCACTGTGTCTGGTTGTGATCTCCAGGTTGCCTAGTGAGGACATGTTTTGTCAGACACTGGTAAAGGATACCAATACTACTGGTTACAGAGGTCAAACTGTACTTCTGTGGCAACTACTTCCAAAACAGGGAACACATCTGGGAATAGTCTGAAGTGTCACATGTGCCAAGACTTTCCATGCTGTTTCTCTGTGACATTGTGAAATTATGGGCACCTCGATTTCTTCCCTTGTTTCGTCTTCTCGTATATCCTGTCTTCTCCTTTGGCTTCCTGACAACAATGCCTGCCCTCCCTTGTCAGGACTGAACAAAAGTCGACTTTGATTGCGGAGGGCTCTTTGTGTCGGATGGATTAGTGTCCCACGTGGTTCTCATTTCAAGGCGAAACAAGGCAGCCTTGTGGTTTCCTTTCCTTATCTGCCTTCATCACGTTTTGTGGTTACGAGCCTGAAAAGGACTGTCCTACTTACCTTGGATGGCCTCTCCTTAGAAAAGAACGGGTTGGGGAGATCCGCCTCTCCCTTTCTGGTTGAGAGTTGCCTTTTACTCGGACTCTGAACGTCAGCCAGCTAATAAAACATTTTATCAGAAAGCTGGAGGAGGAGGGAAAGGAAGGGATTGTGTGTGTGTGTGTGTGTGTGTGTGTTTGCAAGAGCTGTCTCTCCACCTCCAAAGGGAAATGGCTCGTCGTCCACCTTTTGTTGTTCCTTTCCCACTTTTTCTTTTTCGTCCTGAAAGAGGTTTCAATGCCGCTTGTGTTTTTGGGCATAACTGGCAGGTGGTCCTTATCAACACCATTAAAAAATTCCCAAGACTTCAAGCGCAGACAAAGTGCACCATGCTCTTTGGAGTTTATGTAGCCAGGAGGAAAGGGATCACGTCGTAGAAATGAACCATTTTACAAGCAGATGGTATAACCTTTCTTCCTGAGTTTCTGCATCAGTGGTTATGCCTAAAGGTAGATTTACTACCCTCCCCGCATGAGCAACCCGTCTCCGAGTATCAGCCAAAGACAATCCGGCTTGTTCACTTTTTCATCCAAGGATAGGAGTGTGAGGTTTCTACCTAAACATTACAATAACATTTAGTCACAAGTAAATCACTATTTTTGATTTATTGCTTACTTTTGCTCACTTGCCAAGCACACCTAAAAAGGAGCCACTATTTCTTTGTTGTTTAATTGTTTGTTTCCTATCTCACCTTTCTCCTAACGTAGGACATTTGGCAGGTTGTAGTGTAGGATAAAACAGAGCAGAGATGCATGCCTGGATCTTACGTCTTTAGCAGAATATTTGGTAACAAAGGTAGAAATATCAAAGATAGGTTCCAACACCACACACACACAAAAGCAGCAATTTAGCATGCAACCATTTTAGTCAAAACTAGCAATCATAGAATAGAATCCTAGAGTTGGAAGAGATCTCATGGGCCATCCAGTCCAACCCCCTGCCAAGAAGCAGGGAAATTGCATTCAAAGCACTCCCGACAGATACCCATCCAGCTTCCGTTTAAAAGCCTCTAAAGAAGGAGCCTCCGCCACAGCAGAGAGTTCCACTGCTGAACAGCTCTCACAGTCAGGAAGTTGTTCCTAATGTTCAGATGGAATCTCCTTTCTTATAGATTGAAGCTATTGTTCCATTGCATCCTAGTCTCCAGGGAAGCAGAAAACAAGCTTGCTCCCTCCTCCCTATGACTTCCCCTCACATATTTATACATGGCTATCATGTCTCCTCTCAGCTTTCTCTTCTTCAGGCTAAACATGCCCAACTCTTTAAGTAGCTCCTCATAGGGCTTGTTCTCCAGACCCTTGATCATTTTAGTTGCCCTCCTCTGGACATATTCCAGTTTGTCAATATCTCTCTTCAATTGTGGTGCCCAGAATTGAACACAATATTCCAGGTCTGACCAAGGCAGAATAGAGGGGTAGCATGACTTCCCTGTATCTAGACACTATACTCCTATTGATGCAGGCCAAAATCCCATTGGCTTTTTTTGCCGCTGCATCATAGGGCCTTCTCAGCGGTGGCCCCCCACCTATGGAACTCACTCCCCAGTGAAATTAGGTCAACCGCTTCCCTCCTTTCCTTCAGGAAAAGTTGAAGATGTGGGTATGGGACCAGGCATTTGGATAGCAGGTGGACAATAAAAATGGTGACAAAAACAGACTATGGACAGGCTTCAGATTAAGTTGTTGATTGTAGAACTTGACATGCCAACTAATTCTATTTTGGACTATTTTATATGGTTTTTAATTTAATGTTAATGTTTTACTGATTATGTAACTGTTGTTTTATCTGTTGTATATGCGGGGCATCGAATTGTTGCCGTCTGTAAGCCACCCTGAGTGCCCCTTCGGGGCTAGAGAAGGGTGGGGTACAAAGATTTGACATAAATAATTAAATAAATTGTTGTCTTGTGTTTAACTTGTTATCCACGAGGACTCCAAGATCTTTTTCACACTTACTGCTCTCGAGCTACGCGTCGCCCATTTTGTATTTTTGCATTTCATTTTTTCTGACTAAGTGGAGTATCTTGCATTTGTCCCTATTGAACTTCATTTTGTTAGTTTTGGCCCATCTCTCTAATCTAGTAAGGTTGTTTTGAATTCTGCTCCTGTCTTCTGGAATCTACATGTGTGAAATAAAACAACCTAGTCAAGTAAAGCTTGCCAATGAAGTGGTATAGTAGATTGAGCATTGGACTATGACTCTGGAGAACAGGGTTTGAGCCCCTACTCAGCTGTGGAGACACACTGGATGACCCTGGATGAGTCACACGCTCTCATGGATGATCTTTCAATTAGCCACGTTGATCCTGATTGCATTGAGATTTCCACTTTGCTGCAAGGCTGTTCACCAGAAGACCAGTGGGACAAGTAGTCCTTTGCATTGTCAACATTATCTTAGTATCCATAGGCAACTAGGAACCAAGCAGTCAAGAGAGAGTTGGAAAGTTTGCCGCCCCTTTTCTGAAATTCGTATCAAATCTGACCTTCTCTGCTCTTCCTTTGCCTGTTCCAGCTGCTTGTAATAGAAAGGTTAGCAACCTTGAAAGAAGGCAGATCAAAGTGTTCTTGTTCATGTGAGTTGTGGTCATAATGTTGCCGCTCTGTTTCTTTCGTCTCTCTTCTTCTAGGACTGGCCATTTGACGATGGAGCGCCACCGCCCACCAAGATTGTGGATGACTGGCTCAACCTGCTCAAGACCAGGTTCTGCGAAGACCCCGGCTGTTGTGTGGCTGTCCATTGTGTGGCTGGTCTGGGACGGTAAGGTCCTTAGCATCCTGCTCTATTTTCTCTAGCCTCCTTCAAGATACGTGGAAGAGCCATTTCTCAAATGAGACCCCTGCCATTCCCTCCAATAGAGTTATTTAAAGTACTGGAAGAGAAGCTGAGGGAGAAGAATATGTAGGAAATGTTTACACTACACAAATATAGCACTCCGATTGCACTGTGATTGCCGTGAAGACCTCCAGTGGATTTATGGAATGTGTAGTTTGGATTTGAACTTGGAAGAGACTTAGTATTCTAGATCAGAGGACTGAACTAGAACTGAGAATTTTGAGTATGGTGTGAAACTGCAAACTCCAGGATTCTGTAGAATGGAGTTATGAGAGTTTTTTATTTAGTGTCAAAAGCATTGCACTAACTGCAATTTCCGAACCATCTTCAAAGATAGCCCCATGTAGAGGGCATTACAGCAGCCCATTCTATATGTAACTAAGGCATGGACCACTTGAGGTATAGAACCTCTCAAGTTGCTTAACCATCTCTTCCAATAGGACAACCAACTTGTACTTGCTGGAGGGGTAGCTATCCACATTTCTCAGCAAGAACACAAAAATAACTCCGCTTTTGCTAGTAACAGAAGCAGCTCTGTATTCAATTGTCTTAAGTGTGCTGGTCAGAGACCGTAATAAAGTTTTGTATTGTATTGTAGTTGTCTTAGATAATAATAATAGTAATACAGTGTTCCCTCACTTACTGCGGGTGTTATGCTCCAGTGGTTCTCAACCTGGGGTCCCCAGATGTTTTTGGCCTTCAACTTCCAGAAATCCTAACAGCTGGTAAACTAGCTGGGATTTCTGAGAGTTGTAGGCCAGAAACATCTGGTGACCCCAGGTTGAGAACCACTGTTCCAGGACCACCCGCAAAAAAGTGAAAATCCGCATATTGAGTTCCGAAGGTGAGGCAGAAGCGAGGAGAGATTTAAAGGCACTGCTGTCACGACGCCAGGGCTCTGCCATTATTCTGGAAGAGGTGAACCAAACAAACTCCCAGTCTGTGTTAAACAATTTAATTGAAGCAGCACTTACTGTCTGGCTGTTTTAATAGTCCAAAACATAAAACATAAAGATAGCACGCAGCCACAGAATATAAAACAAAAACGGATAGCAAACACTACACCATAGTCAAAGGGGTCCAGTCCAGTGATAAAATGCTGAGAGTTCAGCAAAGTCCAGGGATCAAGAGTCTATACTGTAGTCAAAAGTCAGTCTAAAGATTCAAGGTTACAGGTTTCCAAGGGTTCCGGAGACAGGTCAGGATACCAAAAATCCACAAACCTGGGGGGAAACCAGCAGCATCTACCACCAAAATAAGACAAATACTTTTCTTTCACCCAAGGCAAGCTCCTTATATCCAGAAACACTCAGCTGCAACCTAAAGCCCAGGAGGAACAGAGTCAAAAGTAGAGCATTAGCGGAGAAGCCAGCAGCCCCAAGCCAAGCCCAGTTTCAGTAATAAGTTGATGGTCAAAAGGGGGCTGGTTGCTAAAATTTCCCAGTACTGTCATCCTATAAGGATGCTAGCAGGCTACGGCTAGCTAGCAGCGAGCGAGCTCACGGCGTGGTAGCAAGAAATGGCAGTGATGGTAGAGTGGCTCTAATGCACCAACCTCTCCAAGTCAATGTTGGGCAGCAAGAGGGAAGGCTGAGTGGACCACAAGTCAGGGAAGCCACCAATTGAGTCGTAGCATTCATTGCTCTTGCTCGTAGTCAGATATGCATGAGACCATAGTAACCCAATGGAATCAGGCCCTCAGTAGAACACTAGTCAGCCAGGCAGTCGATGGAAAAGTCTGCTCCGGAGCAGTTAAAGATGGCAGAAGGGTCTCTTGACGTCTACTAGAGGGTGCCTGGTTGGTAGGATGGCTCCCTCCCACTCAGCGGCTGGTGGAATAGCAGTTAAAGATGGCAGGGCTTCTAAATGGCTGCAGGAGACATTGATACGCAACTCTGGCCCTTCCTTTCGAAACTACTACACAAAATGCCTGTTGGCCTTGCCTGTTAGCTGAGCTCCAGTTCACCCATCTTGTTTAAAGATCTGCAGAGTCACAAGAAGAAACTTGACAAAGAGTTGGCAACACCTATCTAGGGTCGGTCATTTCTTTCTAACCAGGCAGGAGAAAAAGTGTCTGACTCACCACCTTATTCTCACTCTCTTTTCTTTCCCAGGGCTCCTGTTCTTGTTGCATTGGCCCTGATTGAGAGCGGGATGAAGTACGAAGACGCCATTCAGTTCATTAGACAGTAAGTGTCCTGTAGCAAACCTCTAAACCTTCTCGAAGCACAGCAAAATAAATGGAAATTAATCAGCTGGTATCTCCAAGTGGCGTTTGCATTAAGGCTGTTTCCCTACTATTTTATTCGATGGAGTAAAGGGCTGCTCTGACTGTGTATGTGCCTTCAAGTCACCTCTTGGCTTATGGTGGCCCCATGAGTTTCACAAGGTATTCTTAGGCAAGGAATGTTTGGAGATAGTTTTGCCATTTCCTTCCTCTGAAATGTCACTTACAGCACCTGGGATATAATAATAATAATATGAGTATTTAAAGATCAAACTGCAAAATCTCTGGTACAAGGAAGTAAAGGTGGTCCCAGTTGTGATCGGCTTAAAGACCTTGGCCTGCACTTAAACACAATCGGCACTGACAAAATTACCACCTGTCAACTGCAAAAGGGCACTCTACTTGGATCTACACATATTATTCGCCAATACATCACACAGTCCTAGACACTTTGGAAGCGTCTGACGTGTGATCCAATACAACAGCCAGCATACTGATCTTGTTTGTTGTGGACTAATCTTGATGTGTTTCAAATAATAATAATCATAACAACAACACTTTATTTATATTCTGCCCTATCTCCTCAAGGGGAATCAGAGCAGATCACAGTACACATAAATGGCAAACATTCGATGTCATTTTGGATAGGCAGGACAGAGACAGACAGGCAGAACAGAAAGGAGATATGTTGTGTTGACATCCAGCTTTTTGGCTCCTTGGTGATTGTGCTCGAATCCAGCCACAGGGGGGATGCTGTCACTTTATTGTCTATGACGAAGAGCCATCAGGACTTCCTCCTTCCTTTTTCTGATCTTTTTCTTTATGGTGTCGTAAAATACCTCCCCTGCTTGTTTAGCAGTATCTAATTTCTCTACTTACAGCTCAAGCTGTTTTCAAACTGCTTAGGTAGACAGTAAGCTGGGCTGACAGTCGGGAGCTCATGCCAACCTGGAGCTTCGAACTGACAACCTTTTGGTTGATAGATTTTATCATTGCTGGTGATTTCCCGGTTTCATTGGCAGTCTCCCATCCAAGTACTAACTAACGTTGAAGATTTGGAATGGTATGAAGTATGAATCCGGTGAATTGCATGCAACTCACAGGTTTCACTTTCCCCACTCCACTAGAGACAAAATAACCTGCACAAAGACATCTAGCATATAACACTGCGCCGGTGGCGCAGTGGGTTAAAGCACTGAGCTGCTGAGCTTGTTGATCAAAAGGTCGCAGGTTCGATGCCGGGGAGCGGCATGAGCTTCCGCTATCAACCCTAGCTTCTGCCAACCTAGCAGTTCGAAAACATGCAAATGTGAGTAGATCAATAGGTACCGCTCCGGCGGGAAGGTAACGGCGCTCCATGCAGTCATGCCGGCCACATGACCTTGGAGGTGTCTACGGACAACGCTGGCTCTTCGGCTTAGAAATGGAGATGAGCACCACACCCCAGAGTCAGGCATGACTGGACTTAATGTCAGGGGACTACCTTTACCTTAACAAAATCTGTTCCTGCTTTGAAACTAGTTTTTCAAAGCTATGTTCTTTTTCTCAGCCATATTGTTTTGATGTTGTTTACAGTTGTGATTGTTTATATATTGTATCTGATGTTTTTAATTGGTTGTGTTCTATTTGTAATTTTTGGGCTTGTCCCTTGTATGCCGGCCCGAGTCCCCTTGAGGAGATGGTTGGCAGGTTATAAAAATAAACAACTTATTATTATTATTATTATTATTATTATTATTATTATTATTATTATTATTTGAAACACAACAAGATGAGTCCACAGCAGACAAGATCACTCTGCTGGCTGTTGTATTGGATCACATGTCGGACACTTCCCAAGCGTCTAGGACTGTGTGATGTATCGGCGAATAATGCATGCAGATCCCAGTAAGGTGGCCTTCTGCAGCTGGCAGGTGGTAATCTTGTCAGCGCTGACTGTGTTTAAGTGCAGGCCAAGGTCTTTAGGCTCTGCACCCAGTGTGTCGATCACCACTGGGACCACCTTTACTGGCTTGTGCCAGAGTCTTTGCAGTTCGATTTTTAAAACCTCATATTGTGTCAGCTTTTCCAGTTGTTTCTCTGCAATCCTGCTATCACCTGGGATTGCGACATCAACGGTCCATATTTTGTTTTTTTCCACGATTGTGAGGTCAGGAGTATTGTGCTCCAAAACTCTGTCTGTCTGAATCCGGACGTCCCAGAGGAGTTTGGCGTGTTCATTCTCTGTAACTTTTTCCGGCTTGTGATCCCACCAGTTCTTTGTCGCATCAGATGGTATTTGTGGCACAAGTTCCAATGAATCATCTGAGCAACGGTGTTATGCCTCTGCTTGTAGTCTGTCTGCGTGATCTTCTTGCAGCAGCTGAGGATGTGATCTATTGTTTCATCTGCTTCCTTGCAGAGTCTACATTTGGGATCTGTTGTTGACTTTTCAGTTCTGGCTTTGATGGCATTGGTTCGAATGGCTTGTTCTTGGCCTGCCAGAATCAGGCCCTCAGGTCTCCTTTTTAAAAGTTCCATTTGTGAGTCACATCCATGTTTTTTCTTTGTCAATTTGGCTCTCAATTTTCCAGGAACTGTCCATGGAGAGCCTTCTTTTGCCAGTTTATTATTATTATTATTATTATTATTATTATTATTACGCAGTACTTTCAGAATTTCAGTAATTTCAGAAACTTTGTTTTTCTGGCTGCCACAAACTATGTTGAGTTGGTTGTGAATCTATGACAGGGGTCCTCAAACTACGGCCCGCGGGCCACTTACGGCCCGCCAAGGGCACTTATCCGGCCCGCGGAGGAGCGCCCCCCCCCCCCACACACACACACAGTGCCCCTCCCTTGGTTGGCTCACGCTATCCGTCAGGCCCGATGAGCAGCATGAGCCAGCCAAGGGCAGCTGCTCCGCGTTGTCAACTCGCACGTAAAGCACCTTGCGAGGTGCTTTAGGCGAAAGTAGGCCACGCGGTGCTGCTCCTCCCTTGGCAGGGTCACGCTATCCGTCAGGCCTGACGGATAGCGTGAGCCATCCAAGGGAGGCTGCCCCGGCGTTCCATGCAGTCATGCTGGCCACATGACCTTGGAGGTGTCTACGGACAACGCCGGCTCTTCGACTTAGAAATGCAGATGAGCACCACACCCCAGAGTCAGACACGACTGGACTTCATGTCAGAGGAAAACCTTTAACTAGGAAAATTGTGGAAGATCCAGGGTGGGAGAAAGAACTCTTGTCTGTTGGAGGTAGGTATGAATGTTTCAGTTGGCCACCTTGATTACCATTTCATAGCCTGACAGTTTTTAGGGAGAATCCTTTGCTGAGAGGTGATTAGCTGGCCCTGATTGTTTCTTGTCTGGAGTTCCCCTGTGTTTGAGTGTTGTTCTTTATTTACAGTTATAATTTTAGAGTTTTTTTAATACTGGTAGCCAGATTTTGTTCAGACTAGAAATAGGAAGATTTCCCATTCTCTGCTCCTGGAATTACTGCCTAAAGAGGGTTAGAAAGAACCCCCTCTAAGGGCCCTTCCACACAGCAAAATAAGATATGTGCAATGTGCAGAGGAATTTTTTTATTGATTTTTTTAAAAAAAAACCTATAGTCCGGCCCTCCATCGGTCTGAGGGACAGTGAACTGGCCCCCGGTTTAAAAAGTTTGAGGACCCCTGGCATAAGCAGCATTCATGTAAAGGTAAGGTAAAGGTAGTCCCCTGACATTAAGTCCAGTCATGTCTGACTCTGGGGTGTGGTGCTCATCTCCATTTCTAAGCCGAAGAGCCAGCGTTGTCCATAGACACCTCCAAGGTCATGTGGCCAGTAAAGTGTACTGCAGTTTAACAAAAACTTCCATGTTTTTACGATAAAGCCAATTAGGAAATGACATTTATAATCCAGGAACAAAAAGTGTAATGGAAAGAGACCTAACTCACCTTCTCCCTGAAACATGAGCTATCTCCATGCAGAATTTCATAACCATTTGCTTGGTTTGCAATTTTAAGGCAGATAAGAAAAATCTAGCTTTGTGCACCAGCTCTTCTATCCCATTCCAGCATCCCAGACACATATCTATCTCTTTAATCTGCTGTCTGTGCAAACTAGGACACAAGTCAGCACTCTGCAATGAAGTCACCCTTGTGTCTCTACTGGAATTTTACCGTGGTTGTGTAATGCTGTCCTTTGGGCCACCTCCACCTCCCAAGGAGCGCATCAATACCCTTCCAGCAAGTCCTTTAGGGTTAGGTAAGGACTAAAATGAACCCAGGGGTCCGGAGAAAACAGTCAAGGATTACAATCCCATCTGGCTGTCGAGTTCAGCTTGCTCCGAAAAAGCTGCTTGTGCCCTTCCTTGGAGCCGGCTCTCGCAGCCAGCGACAGCCCTTGCATTTGCTCTTAAATCCCCTTTCCTGTAATCTCCTTAGCATGTTCTGCTCAAGCCATGAAAGTGGGGATTGTTCTGTCTATTCTGTGCTCTAGGTTAGAGGCCTCCCGAGTGTTTTCAGGACAATGAAGTTGAAAATACTCAGACTAGCCCAGTAGTCTTGGCAAAGGTAGCTAGCCAGTAGGTACAGTGGCATACTTGAGAATGCATTGGTTTTAAGTGGGATATTATTATTATTATTATTATTATTATTATTATTATTATTATTAGGCCCAAACCCCCGATTAAATTTGTGCAATTGTTTGTTTGTTTTTCATCAAACAACAATAAATCATTTAAAAGCTGTGACAACTCTGGTTGCTGGTCTGCTTCCAGGCTAAATACAAAGTTCTGGTGATTACCCTGGAGGTCCCGTTGGCGTAATGTGCCGGCAGGACTGCTGACTGACAGGTCAGCAATTTGAATCCAGGGAGAGCGGGTTGAGCTCCCTCTGTCAGCTCCAGCTCCCCATGTGGGGACATGAGAGAAGCCTCCCACAACGATGGTTAAACATCAAAACATCTGTGTGTCGCCTGGGCAACTTCCTTGCAGATGGCCAATTCTCTCACACCAGAATTGACTTGCAGTTTCTCAAGTCGCTCCTGATAACACACACAAAAACACCCCTATAAAGCCCTAAACAGTTTGGATCCAGGCAATTAGTCCAATCGCATCTCCCTATATAGGCCTTCTCATAATAATAATAATAATAATAACAACAACAACAACAACAACCACCACCACCACCACCACCACCGGGATTGTGGCACAGCAGGCTGAGTGTCAGCTGCATTAAGATCACTCTGACCAAAAGGTCATGAGTTCGAAGCCAGCCCGGATTGGAGTGGGTTTCCAACCAATTATGTGTAGCCTGCTGTCGACCTTTACAACCCGAAAGACAGTTGCATCTGTCAAGTAGGAAAACAAGGTGTGTGTGTTCATTCGTTCAGTCGTCTCCGACTCTTCGTGACCTCATGGACCAGCCCACGCCAGAGCTCCCTGTCGGCTGTTACCACCCCCAGCTCCCTCAAGGTCAGTCCAGTCACTTCAAGGGTACCACCTTAAAAAGTGTGGGGAGGCTAAATTAACTGTTTTATGAGGCCATGAAGAAGACTCCAGCAAAGCATTCCAGCGGGGAAGCATGCAGGGAATGCGGAGGTGCTTCATCAGTGTCTCAGAGCACCCCAGCGGCCAGAAAAAGTTAAATAGCCTCTGTGTATGTCTGTATATGTCTGTATGTCAAAAATTGGCATTGAATGTTTGCCATATATGTGTACACTGTAATCCGCCCTGAGTCCCCTGCGGGGTGAGAAGGGCAGAATATAAAAGCTATAAATAAATAAATAAACAAACAACAACAGGAGAAACGTCAGGAGAAATGCCTCTAGAACATGGCCCTATAGCCCGAAAAAAACCCACAAGAACCTAGTGATTCCAGCCATGAAAGCCTTCGACAATACAACAACAACAGTTTATTTATATTCCACCCTTCTCACCCCAAAGGGAGCTCAGAGCGGATCACAGTACACATACACAGAAAACATTCAATGCCGCTTTGTATAAACGATACACAGACAGACAGAACAGAAGGAGGTTATTTGTCCAGCTGTTTTTTGGTGCTATGCAAGGTTGGGCTCAAGTCCATGGGGTGCTATTGCTCTATCCTCTATGACGAAGAGCCATCAGGACTTCCTCCTTCCTTTTGGTCGCCCAGCATTTTTCTGATCTTTTTCTTTATGGCGTCATAAAACACCTTTCCCGCTTTTAGCAGTACCTAATTTCTCTAATCACAACTAATGCTGTTTGTGAATTGCTTAGGTAAACAATCCTTAGGCCCAAACCCCACATTATATTTGTGTAATTGTTTGTTTGTTTGTTTTATTTATTTTTAACAGTTTTGTCTTCTCACCTCCATCGAGGGACTCAGGCTGGTTTCCAACATCAATATTACAAACAATCATTAAAAACATAGTATTCCAGATTACACTAAGACATTAAAAACAAAATGCAATCATATAATTACAATAGTCAGTCGTCATCATAAAATCATTATTCGTCGACATCCACCCATATCACAGGAACTTGATTCATTCTTCGAATGCCAGTTTCCAGAGCCAAGTTTTCACCTGTTTTCTGAACGTCAAGATAGAGGGGGCTGTTCTGATCTCCAGTGGAAGGGAGTTCCAGAGTCGAGGGGCCACCACCGAGAAGGCCCTGTCCCTCGCCCCCACCAGACACACTTGCGAGGCTGGTGGGACCAAGAGCAGGGCCCCTCCAGACGATCTTAGCAATCTTGATGTTTCATAGGGGAGAATACGTTCGGACAGGTAAACTGGGCTTTATAGGTTAACACCAGCACTTTGAATTATTGCTCGGAAGCTAGCTGGCAGCCGGTGGAGCTGGCGCAACAGAGGAGTAGTATGCTCCCTGTACCCCGGTCTTGTTAGCAGTCTGGCTGCCGCACGTTGGACTAGTTGAAGCTTCTGGGCAGTCTTCAAAGGCAACCCTACGTAGAAAGCATTGCAGTAATCTAAATGGAATGTAACCAAAGCGTGGACCACCGTGGCCAAGTCGGACTTCTCAAGGTATGGGTGCAGCTGGCGCACAAGTTTTAATTGTGCAAAAGCTCCCCTGACCACCGCTGAAACCTGGGGCTCCAGGCTCAGCGAGGAGTCCAGGATCACTCCCAAGCTGCGAACCTGCGCCTTCAGGGGGAGTTTTGCGCTATGGGTATTTCAGAAGAACCTCTTCGTGTTTGTCATCCTTGTGTTTATAGAGTTATTGGAAAGCACACTCACCTCCTTCCGTTTTCTCTTCCAGGAAACGCCGGGGAGCCATCAACAGCAAGCAGCTCACCTACCTGGAGAAATACCGACCAAAGCAGCGGCTCCGGTTCAAGGATCCTCAGAACCATAAGAACAAATGCTGCATCATGTAATAACCTCAGTAACAGCCTCTTGCCAAAACACACACCGGTGGGGAGGACACACAAGGCGTATCACACTCATACACACAGGGCTTGAGCTCTGGAGTCAGAGGAGATCATGACTTCACTACTTTTCTCGGTGGGCAGGATCCCCTTACATTTCGCCAAGACCTGGGGAAGGGAAAGGCCAATTTAACTTTCAAACGCTAGGGATTGTTTCTGTATTTTGCCCTCCCAAGTGATCCCTTGAAATATATTTGCAATGGCATCATGCACCCATGCAATTCCCCTTCCATTTTGTCCTGGGGTTGGCAGAGTGGGGCTGGCAGGTCTCTAGACCATTTACACCAGAGTTCAGAAGATTTGCAATATAGGGCTGCCTACAAAGCCCTACTCTGCCTCCCTCAGCTTTTCTGTGAGCATTGCATCATTTGATATTCACTCTACAATATGGCCATCAGGTCACCACATCTCCCTCCCTTTTCTGTGGAATTTCCTCCGCTTGATAGGTCACTGTCCATTCTTGGCCAGCAATATTAGATCAGGTGGGTTTGCAGTAAAGCTCAGGAGTTGTGGGGAAAAGTGGATGAGTTAGCAGAGGACTTGAATAACGGATGGAGAATCTGCTGTGGCATATTTGATTGAGCTCCACCCTTTGAAGTATAGTGTTGTCATGCTTCGTGTTGTGATAGTTGCACCTAATTTGGAGAGTTTAGGTTCGATGTGGAGGAAGGAATCCTCTCCTTTCCTTTGAAGAGTGACAGCGAGGCTTGTAGTTGATTGGTGCAGCAAGTGGCAGCTGTTTGATTTCATGGGAGTGAAGCAGGTAACCTACTCGGGATTTTAATCCAAACTGTGGAGGAACTATTCAAGCTGAACCAGTGGTTAGGGCAAGAATAGGGAAACTCTGGCCCTCCAGGTGTTTTGGACTTCAACTCCCACAATTCCTAACAGCCTACCGGCTGTTAGGAATTGTGGGAGTTGAAGTCCAAAACACCTGGAGGTCCAAAGTTAGCTCATGCCTGGTTTAGAAGCACAGAATCCCCACAAAAGTGTAAAAAAACTAAACATTTTAAGCCCTCCAAACATGTATGCTGCAGATTGCTACATCAACACCAGTGTTGAAAATGGTGGATGCAGCACCAAATACAGTCATCCATGAATAATATCTGTGAATGTTTCACCCACCAATGTGAATGGAGTGCCACTACTCCTTTACAGTTGAGACTGAAACTCGGTGAGCATTCATTGCTCCAGAAATAAGCAAACCACCAGCCCAACTGCAGAAAAAAGGAGACAGGCTTCATCAGTTGTGGTTTCAGTGTTGTGGGATTGTATATGTGTGTGTGTGTTGTTCGGTGCTTCACATTTTACATCATGAAATGCCCATCCTTAGCTCCAAACTTCTGATTCCTTTTCTTTCCAGAGATGGAGGGGAAGCAATTCGATGTGAGGAGTATGGTTTGGAAACAATGCTTTTGGGGGCTACGACTCTCAGAATATAGTGCCGATTGGAGGATTTGGGGAGCAGTAGTTCTCCCAAAAGTCGTTTTCCCAGCTCTGAGTTCTGAATTAGTGTTTGAACAGAGAACAGAAGGGTATATGGGATTGGAAGAGGCATGAGCAAACTTTTGCTCTCCAAGTGTTTTGGACTTCAACTCCCACAATTCCTAACAGCCTACTGGCTATTAGGAATTGTGGGAGTTGAAGTCCAAACCACCTGGAGAGCCAGAGTTTGTCTATGCCTGGATTAGAGGCAGGGCAGAGTTAAAGGTGATACTGTTTTTTTACTATCTTGGGAAGAACGACATTGCCAAGTTCATACATTCTTCCAAACGTACCATGGGTAGCCACAAACCCACCAGGCTTATAAAAAAAAAACAGTTGCCAAAATGGCCTGATAAGAATCCAGTGACTCATGGGTTTCATACAATCCCTTAATCACCACTCCCTCCAGAGACCACCACCACCAAGGCCCTGCAACCTTGTTTTAAGGGAAAACCAACTCAAGTGCCATTCAAATTCTTCCAAGTTTTGCCACCCCATTTTTAATGTAGTAGTGGAAGTGGACTTTGGAACTTTTCTGGTTTTGGGGAGGGGATATTGGAGTTAGCAATCCACAGTAGATTCCAGCTTATTTTCTGGACTGTTTCAGACTGTTTGCTGGACTTTCTTGGATCTTTGTTTTGTGGGCCCAGCTTTGGTTTCCACCAAAACATCTCTCTACATATTCCCCAACTCCACCTCACTTGGCAACTGATCCTTTAGGCCCCACACCTATTTATTTATATATTTTATTGCTTATTTATGCCAGATTTTGGGCACCTTGAGTGCCAAGAGAGGGTACAAAGCAAAAGAGATAACATAAAAGCTCTGAATCTCGAAATCCATCTATAGGGAATGTTAGTGGCCCATCTTGCAGTCTAGCCTTTTCCTTAGATTTCTGTGAGCACATTTCAAGTGAAGTGAATCTGATATAATTATGTAGAGTGGATGCAGTCTGAGACGAAAAGTTTTCCCAGCTCTTATCTGGAAATGTTGGAGATTTTTTGAGTGCTGAGGTCTTGGTTGTTGAGACTACTTTTCCCTCAACTCCAAATGCATTGGACAACCATTCCCATTTCCCCCAGCTGATTTGGTTACTGAGTTTTGAAAGGCTGGGGTAGGGTAGCACTGAAAAGTAATTGGTGGATAGTAATTTGTTTGTAAGGCTCTCTCCATGAAACGTACACAGTTTTGATGTGAGATTTCCAATTCAAAGGAATATAATTATGTTGGAGTGAGTGGAGACAACTTGCAAAGAATGTTTGAAATGACTAGGTTGACTGTGTGAAATCCTCTTTTTGAGAAGCAAGTTGTTGGGAGATTGGAAAGCAACTATAAACAATACCAGGCATGGGCAAACTTAGGTCCTCCAGATGTTGTGGGAGTTGAAGTACAAAACACCTGAAGGGTCCAAGTTTGCCCATGCCTGAACTATACTCAACAGGGTGGTCTCAAACAAAGTTCAGTGCAAATTTCAGGTGTTTAGGTCAAAATGGGCAGCCTTCGTTTTGCACTGAAACTGCAACAGAATTTTATCACGTTTTCCATCTGACCCAATCCAAGGTGGACATTTCCTTGCAGTTGCAGGATTTGTTTTGGCCTCTAAAGTCTCAGCTGACCCCCTTCTCTTGATCTGTGATGTTTTGTGTCCTCTCTCCTCACTGGCCATGATGGAAGTTTGTTTCTATACAGTTTGCCCTCCCTACTCATCAAACCTGATATGATATCACCAGGACAGGGATTTCCAACCTTGGCTGTCACCCAAGCAGCGTTTATCCAACCATTGCTGCCAAATTTTAGCCACAAAATGAACACTACATTGCCAAGAGAAGCAGCAGCAGCCACCAGCCTGCCAATGTGTTTTACTGCCAATCCATTCCTGTCTGTCTTTCCGAGAAGCATATTCCTTAGTGTCCCTCTTCTCTGTCATCTGGGATTTGGAAATATTCTCTTTTTCAGCCACAGTTGGAGTCTCCCAGCCAATGTGCAGCCGATGGGACACATGTGGCCCCACGAAGCCAATGTTGACATCTCCCCTTTGGTCCTCCCTAGCATTTAGGTAGGGCAGTCCTCTAAATACTGGAGGAGGACCGGTGCAACATCGTAAATCAGTGGTAGTCAACCTGTGGGACCCCAGATGTTTTGGCCTTCTACTCCCAGAAATACTAACAGCTGGTAAACTGCCTGGGAATTCTGGGAGCTGTAGGCCAAAACACCTGGGACTCACAGGTTGAGAACCACTGCCCTAAACCTTAACTGCCCACCTCTTTTGTAGGTGACCCCAACATTAAAATAGACCCAGGGTTCCAGCAACACACACATAAATGAATTAGAGTCTGTAAAACAGTGGTTCTCAACCTGTGGGTCCCCAGATGTTTTGGCCAACAACTCCCAGAAATCCCAGCCAGTTTACCAGCTGTTAGGATTTCTGGGAGTTGAAGGCCAAAACATCTGGGGACCCACAGGCTGAGAACCACTGCTGTAAAACATAATGCGTCCACCCCACCATTACCTGTCTCTGGTCCAGGGTGGGTTTTATCCCGGTTTTACACACCTGGGGCCCCTTCACACTTCTCAATTGTAGTAGACTGATTCCACTTCAACTTCCATAGTTTTTTGGGTGGGATCCTGAGATTTGTCGTTCGGTGTGGCACTAAAGCAGTGGTTCTCAACCTGTGGGTCCCCAGGTTTTTTGGCCCACAACTTCCAGAAATCCCAGCCAGTTTACCAGCTGTTTTGGATTTTTGAGAGTTGAAGGCCCAAACATCTGAGGACACACAGGTTGAGAACCACTGCACTAAAGTTATCTGGCTCAGAGATTCAGATTCTCCTCCTTAGCTACAAATCCCAAGATTTCATTGGATGGAGCCGTATCAGTTCAAGCAGAATCCTATTGCTCTAATTAAGTGTGAAAGGGTCCCTTGACGGATAGTATGGTGGACCTGAAGCGCCAAAATGTGTCCTCTTATCCTTTTTTTACAACCTAGGTGCATAAAGAATGTCTTTTTTTAAAAAAAAGGCACAAGAACTCCACGTTGTTTTTGTAAACAGCCCTTTCCGAAAAGGATGACCTTCCCTAGGCTGCGTGCGCGCACACAACACACAATCCTGTCTACCTTTGTAAAATCCTCTTTGAAAAGAAACCACACACACCAATACCAAAACCATTCATAGCACAGAAAATGTCTTCAAAAAAACGTGGGCTCAGCCCGACACGGACGTACCAGCATTTTTAATAGCCTTATAGTGTGGAAATCTTGAATTTAAAAATAAAATTTGAAAATAACAAAAAAATGTGTGCATCCTTTTAGCCGGAAGAGAGAGGAAAAATGTATAAAAACGAAAACAAGACAAAAAAAAATGGCAATGCCTCTGTGTTTTGTACGGGTGCGTGGGTGTGGATGTGTTTCCTTCCTTTTGCCCCAACTCTTGTAGAGCAAAAAACGACGATGTTCCTTTTGTAGTTCACAAGCCTCTCTTGTCTCAAAATAAAAAATCCACACTGTGGGAATTTTGAGGCTCGCAAAGCCCTCTCGTTCCCCTTTTGATATGGCGTATAAACAGCGTCTGGGAATGTGAATTTGCACACTGTAAAAGCAAGGCAGCACTTCCTCTTCTTGGGATTATGGGTGGCTTTGGATAGCATTTCCTATCACCCAACAGAAGCAGGGAATGAGATTGAGTCCGCTCCTGGTTTTAGTGCAGACTTTAAAGGCATGTTCCAGGGTGCAGTAGTCTTGCATAGATCCTTTAAAACCATGACCGGACTCATCATCCCATAAACCTGGGAGCTGCCAGTACTACAGCTGGAAAAACAATACTGTAATATTAATTGAAATCTATGTATCTTGAAGGGGCTCCTTCATGACCATGTGCCCAAAGCCAAGGGCTGTAAGGTGTCAAGATTCACACTCATACACTCAAAACGCATCCCAGTCAGCTGCCTACTATGTGCTTTTATGTTCTCTGTCAGTGGAGCAGTGAACCCATCCCAACCTTTTACTCTAGGCTTCGAAGGAGCTCTCCAAGGTCCTGAAACCTATTTCTAAGCAGCTTTGCTACCTTGGACAGCTCCTTCAAAGCTAGTGAAAACCTGAGATGCATTTATCACCCATCTGATATGGAAACCACCACATCAAGACCTTATTACAGTGGTTCTCAACCTGGGGTCCCCAGATGTTTTTGGCCTACAACACCCAGAAATCCCAGCCAGTTTATCAGCTGTTAGGGTTTCTGGGAGTTGAAGGGCAAAAACATCTGGGGACCCCAGGTTGAGAAACACTGCCTTATTATGTTCAGTATACATTTCCAACAAGACCTTGAGCAGAAGGAGAACATGTGGATGGGAGGTGCAAGCGGTACTATTTGTGTTTCATCATGCATATGGAGGACTCGAAGTCTACTCCCATAGAATTATCAAAATAGAGGAAGATATGATGGGTTGGTAGTAGAAATTATATGATACCCCCAGCTCTCTCAATTCTTATGTAGTTCCTTTTTTGTCCCATAGATTTAGTTCTCACTTGGCCAACTGAAGGGGAATCTTTCTATGCTTCCTGCACAGGGTTGGACTAGATGGCCCATGTGGTCTCCTCCAACTATGATTCCTTAAGGTTTCTTTCACACTTTAGTGTTCTAAGACTTTGTTTCAGCTTTAACTGCTAAGGATGTATCCTTAAGAGTTCTAGGATTTCACTGTCGTAGCTCCATCCTATGGAAAGCTGGGATGTATTGTTTGGTGTGGTACTTAGGATTATCCATTCCAATAGCTCACCAAGTTTTCCACAAGATGGAGCAATAGAAGTGCACCAAAGTTCTGTCAAAAAAGACCTTGGACAATTGAGATACCAGAGCTCCCAAATAGACTTTAGTGATCCCTCGTTGTCCAAGTAGGATAGTCTTCCAAGATCAATGTACTGGTGGCTACATAGGTGACTGTGGAGCCCTATTCTTGATCTGCATCTTCTCCCGCAGTGAGGGCATTGGTTTCCAGGTGGAAGGCGGTCTCGGGGTTGGCATAAGGTGCCTTCCTCTTGGCACGTTTCTCTCTTTGGCCCTCTGTGCCTCTTCAAATTCTACAGCACCGCTGGTCACAGCCGACCTCCAGCTGGAGCGCTCAAGGGCCAGGGCTTCCCAGTTGTGTCTATGCCACAATTTTTAAGGTTGGCTTTGAGCCCATCTTTAAATCTCTTTTCCTGCCCAACAACATTCCGTTTTCCATTCTTGAGATAAATAGAAACCATTCTAGGGCAGCTTCCTTCGCCATCAGCAATTTTGCCCAGCCAATCTTGAATGCAACACCAGTATGGGATGGAGGCAGTGAGAGCAAAATATAGGCACTGTCTCTCCAAAAGAAGTTCCCCTTCAGTCCTCTCATTTCCAGCATTGCAGGGAGAGAGATGTGGAAAATGGTTCACACCTAGAACTTCTATATTTGAAGTATGCCACATCCTCACTGCCCCCTTTCCCCCTTTTCTTTGTTTACCTAAATCCCTAAAATGCTGAAGATTTAAACTACTACTGCAATAGGCTAGCAATTGGAGGACTGAAGGGCAATTTCACGGGGCGGTCAGAATTCTTCATTTTGTACCTCTTTGTAACTACACCCACTTTATACAGGTTTTAAGAGGACAGCGTGAATACTTAGATTTCAGTGGACTTATAGAATCATAGAATCAAAGAGTTGGAAGAGACCTCATGGGCCATCCAGTCCAACCCCATTCTGCCAAGAAGCAGGAATATTGCATTCAAATCATCCCTGACAGATGGCCATCCAGCCTCTGTTTAAAAGCTTCCAAAGAAGGAGCCTCCACCACACTCCGGGG